TATATATATATATATATATATGAAATGTAATTTCTCATACATTATTTGTTTTGTGCAGCCGGAGCAACAGGAATGAGACAAATTTTGGAATATAAAGTAGTGGGTTTATTTTAGCATCCATCTCACAAGCGTTCTCCTCGTACCTTGAGCAGAAGCCCTACTTATACATATGTGTGCGTCACGAGGCTCCTCCAATCAGCGATATTAATTGAAATCACGAGGTGACGCTATCTTCTCATCAGGAGTGTTCTAAAGGACTTTATGTAATATGACAGATTTATGAGTTTGGCGATTTGGCGGGCGCCAACAGGTTAATATATTTTATACTAAAGAAAGGATTTCGCCAAAATTTAGGAACAGGGATGCAATTTAGGTAGAGAATCGCCAACACATTATTAAGCAATATTATTATAATTTAATTTAATCAATTGATTTAAAAATATCATTACATATATATATATATATGTGTGTGTGTGTGTATGTATATATATATATAATAGGAAATAGTATAGAGTGTGAACGTCTTTGGTAGTATAAACTTAAATCAAAGTCCTAACAGACCTAAAGCGAATTATCGCTGTGCCAGAAATAACAGCAAAATCTAGAAAAGATTTAAGACAACCTTTTTATTAAAACTGGACTTGAATATAAACGCACCTTTTGTGCTTGACAACATCAACCACCACTTGTGGTGATGTAACTTAAAGTAACAGTCATATTCAGATTTAAAGTAGTAGGCAATCCATTCTTAATTCTAAATTGGACCACTACTTCTCACAGGCGTAACAATTAAATGTCGGCAGCAATAACGCAAAGCTAAAGAATTACAGTCTTATCAAAGCTGGGGAAATCGAGCTGGACAAATCCAGTTAGTCTCGAGACGCAAAAACAGAATCCTAGATTTATGGACTTTCTAACTGATTTGCATTTCCAGTGAAGAAATGGAAAGGGAAAAGATAGCAAAGGCTGAAGATATAGATAATTGGTTAATTAAAATAAAATAACCCTACAAAACTAACATTATAAACATTATCATCGAATTATATAATATACCACCAAAGTTATTGAAAATATTAGTAATTACATTTAAAATGTAGGTGTATTAATATATTATCTCTCTAATAAGTTCAATTCAACAGCAGCAAAGTGACGTATTTGTGTACCTGTTTATTAGTCAGTTTATAATTTTTAATATTTAGTTATGAATTACAAATTTTATCGCATTTTTAACAAACTGCTTCGTTTGCTATGTAATTAAGTTTCAAACTGATTTAAATTTTCACGCATTTCGCGCATTCCAAAAATGTTTCTTATGTCACTAAACGTTGAATCGAAGACTCCCATAACTGGTTCCATCTATTAGCTGCACTACAAAGCTGAGACACACGCACGAGAGTTCAGAATTATAAATTTTCTGATAGCATATATTTATGACCGATTCAGCCTTTACCAAGCGCAAAAAGAACTGAGAACTCGGATTTTAGCTGTTTTCTATAGCTTTCCAATAATCTGTAAACTGTTAGGAAGCACTACAATCATATAAAACAAGATGTGAATTCAACGTGGCTACTTCTCGTGGCTCAATATTTGAAAGTGGTTATATTTGAGGCGAATGTGATAGGTGTTGAAATATAGGCGATTACGCAGGAATTTGGTTTTCTACCAAGTTTTGTTTTCCACGGTCTATGGTTTCAAGAATTTATAGTGCAACTGACATACGATGCCTTGTGGACTTCCATCATAGCCTGAAAATATGAAATCATTTCAAATTTTAATAGAGAGGAATATAAAGCATTTCTACGTCACTTGTCTTTCATCGGATTTTGTAGTCGGAGACTCAAGTATATTTCACTATTTTGTGCATTATGATGGTTTTCTGCGAATTACCTTTGCTCGAAAGCATTAGATATGAGCTGCAGAATAGCGTCAGGATAATTATGACTCGCTACACAGTGAAGCAAGCCAATGTTTCAAATCCTTGGCACTCAAAATGCATTACTGTATGCATAAACTTTAGTGAGAAGGTACGTAATATTTTTCGACGAAAGATATGTGCTTACTGGGACATTCTCATAGACAATCGGCATTTATTCATGACTTTGGAATATCCTAAAGGTTATTTTTTTCTTTATTCCTAACAGGATAGTAAATATGTCGATATGTCGTATTATCACTTTTTGAATACGAGGAATTGCCGCCTATGCAACCATAATATAGCCGAGCCGGTACGAAACTTTTGCAACGCTCGTAAGGCACAATAAGAATAGTTTTACGGTCAGTGAATTCACTGTTGTTCATTCCAACAAAATTTTGATCTAAGCTTCAGAATCTGGAGAATGTTATCTCTGCAAAGCAGTACCAACATCTTTTTCGTTCCATTTCTAGAAGTGTGAATCATTTCTAAAGTCTCGAGAATAATCAATGCACCATTAAATACCTATCACATTTTATCTTGTGCCTTAAACAACGCGTATTAGAATTTCGCATTATTAAAAAAAATTCCTTTATATAAATCATGGTATCCTATTCTAAATTCTGAAATATATTACTTCTTGAATGTTCTAAATATTTCTTCGAAGCACTAAATTAGTACCAAAATGTTCTTCGAAGCGGTGTCCGCCGATAACATCGCGGCAAAAACATCGCGGACGAAAACGTCGCGGAGAAAACAACGCAAGGCGAAAACGTCGTGCTACAAAACATCGTGGGAGAAAACATCGCAGTTTTAAAACATCGTGGTATAAAACATCGTCGTCGAAAATAAAGCGGTTCAAAAACTTCGCAGTTTAAAAACATCGTCGCCGAAAATAACGTGATAAAAAATAAAGTATCTATAAATCATCGCAAGACGATAACATCGCAGACATGCTTTTTTTTCAGGTTTTAATAATTATAAATGGATATTCCCATAATGATTTGTGAGCAAAAGGTGTAAAGAAGGATAATTTTTACTTTCACATTTTTTATTAACTAATAAATTTTTGCTGAAAACTTAAGAAGGAAACTTAAGCATAGAAAATTAAATGCAACTTATAGATTATACTTTTCATGAAAAATTACCAGTAAAAACTTTATAAAAATGATTTATTAATGGCCTTTGTTAGTTCACTATGTCGGTTTAAAATTTTATTAAGTGCTATAAGTTGCATTAATATCCTATGCTTAAGTTTCCTTTTTATTTTCTCAGCAAAAATGTGTTAATTAATAAAAAATATGAAAGTAAAAATTATCCTTCTTTCCATCTTGCGCTCACGAATCATTATAGGAATATCCATTTACAGTTATTAAAGCATGTCTGCGATATTATCGTCATGCGATGATTTGTAGATACTTTATTTTTTACGATATTTTCGACGACGATGTTTTTAAATTGCGAAGTTTTTGAACCGCTTTATTTTCGACGACGATGTTTTGTACCACGATGTTTTAGAACTGCGATGTTTTCTCCCACGATGTTTTGTAGCACGATGTTCTCGCCTTGCGTTGTTTTCTCCGCGACGTTTTCTTCTGCGATGTTTTTGCCGCGATGTTTTCGGCTGTAACCCTTCTAAGCAATGATGCAGTATTATACGATTGCCATCCTTTCATTGACGCAAATTTTAATAACTGCCTAACATTTTCAAGCAAGATAAAGGACTAAAAACACATTAATTTATACACTTCATAGTTATTTGTTTCAACATATATGCTTGGAGTAGTTTATGATTACTTTTAAATCGTGATACGTCTATAAATAAACAATCAGAAACACTTCTGACTCCTAAGTATTTATTCAAGAACAACAAGAAAACCTCATTATCAAATAACTTGAATAACTTCATAGCTATTCGAAACAATATATTGTTTGAACGCTTGTTTATTATTAAACTGCTGTTTGGGTCTTAAAGTAAAATATAGACCAACATATATTACACCAATTATGGATTAAAAAATTGTGCTAAGTGTCTAAACTAATACATAATTTATTATATACTAATAAGGTACTGATTTAAACGTAAATGAATCAATACTTAAACCATTGAACCTAATCGCAGGATTCATGTCAAATATAGCTATATTTAAATGAGCTTAATAAATTTAAATACGTAATAAATACAAAACAAAACTAAAATAGAAAAGTAATAAAAAGAAAAGTTTTCTTTTAAAGGTTAAATATTAAAAGACCATTATGGACTTTTAATGAAAACATAAGAAATAAAAGTGCTGATGTCATACAATCACCAGTAAAGTTGCTACCTCTTATCCGATTAAAGCAAACTTTTACGAACTCTCAACACTCCCGAAATAAGAGAAACAGTAAGCAAAGCATCTTGTTAAAGCATAATTCAGTTTAAAAACCTATGAAAGTGAAAGGAATCAGATCAATGCACTTAAAATAGCATACTGAAAAGGTAAAGTTTTACGAACCAAAACGAACCACTAAGTTCTAAGCTTTACCCCCTTTATACGTTTACCCAAATCTGCAACCCTTTTATACGTTTTAAGATACAGAAATTAATTCAACTTATTCAGAAAGATGTAAATCGGAAGTATAAGCAACATGCAAAGAACTTCATAACGACTGTAAATATTTTAATAACATATCTTAAATTATAGCATGTAGTGCTAAAAGTTCTGACTTAAAGTCTCATGAAACCGAAATTGTAATTGAGAAAAATAGCTAAATTTGACATTTGTTTTGCCTATTAGAAGTTTATATATTTAGATATGTCACAAGATTGAATTCCCTCTCTCATTCTGTCCTGGCCAACATTAGCAGTAGGACGCCAGATTTAAAAATCTATAGGATTTAAAACTTTTATGGTTTTAAATGCAATAATAGCACAGTTAATTAAGCTTATGTTTAAGAATCGTTTTAAGAATGTTGAGTTCAACAATGTAAATTTCTTAAATCACAGAAAGATACAATATACTCATTGATCTGAAACAAAAATTTCGAATCGTCTTCTATGTTTTTTATGCTCCTTCTTTTACTATTTTAGTCATTCTATTTACTTTAGGAAGCATCTGTGTTCTATTTTGAGAAGAGAGTTGCGGAAAAACTGCATAAGCCTAAAAGGAAGGAAACCATCACCGAGATTCTCAGATTCAGCGTCAGGCAGTTAGACCGTCTCAAACACCCAAAGCTGCTCACACTTTATCATCCGATTGAAGAATCCAAGTGAGTAAAAAGTATTTTGCATGAAAGCTAAATTTTTATACCTTAAATAATTGAAAGGATTTTTTCAGAACTTCCATATGCAGAGGAGGTGAGAAAAGCAAACAGCTTTTTCAGTCCAAGGTTTACATTTAAGATTAGCGTTTGTGAATGTTTTTTATAACATCTTTATATCCGTACCATAACAATCGATAAAAATCAAGTAATTATGATTTATTCGATAATGTGTTAAGAATAACGGCAGTGTTTCAAAGAGTTCCTTATGAAACAGAGAAATAGAGACCTGGAAGTTTAATTATAGGGAAAATTCAGCTCTTATTTGGGTTAATTTTGATTAAAAAAATATGGGGCTGTATTCATTTCAATTTCTTTTTTGTCGAATAAACTTTATCTAGGAATATTCATAGATTTCAAATATGTCAGATGAAGCAATGCTACCTAGCGATATTTAATGAAAAAAATAATATGAAAAGAAAGGTTTCATGGTGTAAGATAAGTAAAAATAGTCGAATAAGGAGTTTAGAAATAAAATCAAGTTTGACAACATTCACACTCAATCATTGAAACTTGCTAGGAAGGTCAATATTCATCAAGGATGGAGAATGTCGAATTTCCTGCCTTACATAAAAGCAAATAGCATTTTTTGCAGCATTTCACAATTCTTCTACGTTCACTGATGTATAGCAAAACACTTCGCCTGAGGATTTGACAAATTACTTACTTGATTACATAAATTCCTTAAAAATTTATGGAGTTCTAGAATCTTTACTTACAGAAACACTAATTTTTCATATAAAATTAGTTTGAAAGTTTGCACAATTTCTCAATAATAGAAAAAAGAACGTACGAAAGGATATTACTGTGAATGAGGATTGTGAAAAACAAATATTGAATTCAGAAAATCAACAAAGGGTTGTGAAATGTTTTATTTTAAAAAAATTACGGAATTAGGCTTGTGGATGAAGAAAGCCTTTTCTCATAACTATAATATTGATACTGCACTTTTTATTTCTTGCAAGCTCTTCACGAAAAAGAAAGGAAGTAAATGATTCAAGTTCAAAAATGGAATTAACCAGATGAAATCAGTATTAATGAAATTAAAAGGATATTGGTAAATAATAGAAACTATTACGAAACATCGACCTGAGCTGCCGACATAAATGACGGAATGTGAACTACAAAGCTTCGACCTTTTATTTTCTTGGCATATCGGATAAGTTCTAGGCTTATCAATTTTCGGGTCAGAAACTGGATTACCTTTAGGGATCTCTTTTTGTAATGGAAGTGGCAGGTCTGATCAGAAGGTATTGATTGATCCAATGATGTGAAGAGCCTGAGACTTGGACTGCGAGTAAATGGTAAAAAATGTTATGAATTGGCAAGCTATGATACACTGTCTGGCATCCTAGCAGACGTGTATCTGCTACTGACAGATTTTGATGGAGAGCTGTGCGTGAAATTTGCAGAAGCCAATAGTGAAATTTGAAGAACGTAGCCTGCAGGCCTGGGTATTTTTTCCTGGTTTTAAACTGGCTCTTAGTTTAGAATTTTGAATATATGAAATATTTTGCATAGCAGAACGTTTTGGAGGTAAAGGTTTTCTCGCATTATGTCTAAACTCGTCCGTTGAAACATTTCAGCACTGTAGTGTAACTCTTTATAAAAAAAAGTTTTCGAGGTTTAGAAATTTGTATTTGAAATAGTTCAGTTTATTTTAAATTAAAAGCTACTTTTCTCTCGGGCCTTTATGGTGTACGATTAGCATGTTAGTTCATTATACTGAAATATTTCACATTAGATTTGGAGATAATTAATTTATTTTCAAATTTATTTTTGCTCTAACTTGCTCCTTATCTATATATCTGACACCGAGACTAAAGGAATACACAGAACTTTGCACGAAAGTGTAAATTAATAGAAAGTCTGGTTTCCTTGATTAAGAAACGTAAAAACGTAAACGTTTGGTGTTTTTTTTCCCTTTACTCCATAGTGCAATTTCTTCAATATTATTGTATAAGGAGGGGGATCGTCGAAACCTCAATTCGTGTTAGTTAAATGGTCCTTTTGCTGGAATATTTTATAAATAGTATTTCATTATGAAGCGACATCACGATAAAATCATGAGAGAAATAGGTTTGAATTTGTGAATGATTTAATAGAAAGTTTGTAATATGAGCATATTGCCCCAAGGCAGGCCGGCTGGAATCTCTTCCAGTGACTATAAATCTTGGAGCCTAAGTATCTATTACGCTAATGAATCAGTTGCTAAATATGAGGACTATTAGGAAAGATTTGAGATGATATAAGTATTTATGCATTGGGAAGTCTTGAGCCAGATGATGTATATATGAAGAAAAGAAATTGTTGTTTTATGTTCTGCTAAAAAAAACGAATACAATATCTTGTAAAATGTTAGTAAAAATATAAAGTGAGAGTGGTATGTTATTATGTACAGTACAGGAATGAATCAGAGAATTCAGTGTATGCAAAAAAAATGCTTTAGGTTTAAGATTTCAATCAAATAATTATAATTGCATGTCACATAATACTGACACAATGGTAGGTATAACAAAGTGCTCTATATTAAGTATAGAACATTTTAACGTAAGATATTTACAATAGGTACTACTAAACATCATGACTGTGTAATAGAAAATTGTCATGTTTATGCTAATATGTATTTTGGAACATGTGTGAATATGTTCAACATCAGTAAACATTTTCTCAACTAATACTGTGTAAAACACTATCAAGAACAATTCGTGTATTTATCAGAGTGAAACATAAACAATAAAACAAATTCTAAATACAAGAAAGGGGTTTGCGTTGTGTTTCTAACTATCGGGTAATAACCCGTTCAACTACTATGAATTAAGACACAATAACACTATGTAGTACTATGAATTAATTAATTAAAATTCTATTAGTACTATGAATTAATTAATTAAAATTAAAACAATACAAAAAGTAAGCAAATCAAACTAACGTTTATTATGGGGATAACGAGATTTGGTTACATTACTGATAGTGTCATGATAGTAACAATATTCATTTTAAATATTTAAATGGTGGCTGGTTAACATAATTAGCAGAAGTACCACTAGAAAAAATCACATACGTTTGACCTATTAATTATAATCATTATAATCATTAGACCTATTAATTATAAGTGGGGGCTCCACAACCTTACAGGAGTAAAATGAAACTATTCCCACAGAAACTTGAAATACATGTAGTTTGTTCTATACAGGGTTATCGACTTTTTTACCAATCGGGCTTTCAGCATATCTGTCGAAATAAAAAACAGGGGTAAGTAAAAATGAAATCAACGAAAGCAAAACATCAAAGACAACGTCAGGCTCCAATTTCCCATCCTGGACAGTACTTCCATCAGGATGGTTCCGAACTTCTCCCTTTTCCACAGGCCATTTAGGGAATGAGGTCACAGGACTTCTTATTCAGCAACCGTCTCCATATTCGGTGTCCGTGCACTTCTCAGAAGCTCTCTCATGTCAGCCATGAATGCGATTGAAGCTGGTAGCATATCTTTCAAAATCAGACCGGCGCTGCTACTCTCCACGCTGTACAGTTGTGAACTTTCTATATCACGCTCTCCGTCTCTCGTCTCAACTGCGCATCAACTTTAGTACCTGGCGAAATCTTGAAAAAATTGGCGAATTATGGTGATCGGAAGAACGCCAAGCACAGCAACCCCAAAAAAGAAATCTTTACGGGAAGGGGTTTCCCGACTACCAGCTTTAGGCGGACGATACAGTTCAACAGTGCACCCCTCAAGGCTACTCCGTTGGGTCAACCGCCTCTCTGCTGAAAGAAGGGGGGAACATTAGCCTCACCCGCGGTACAACACCACTATGGTAACCATCCTATCCGACGACTTTTCACTCCCCATAAACAAACTCCCCATAGAACATCTCTCTGCTAGAGATATCAAAGCAAACAAGGTCCCGTTTACGATAAAACTCCAGATGGTGAAGAAATCAGCACATCTGGTGAAACGCTTGGCAAAAGAATTTCGGGGTGCAGCAATCCCCAGATAAAGGATTCTGAGAAACGAATTCCCGGCCGACAACTTTCGATGTGAAAAATTACAGAACCAGTAAATAGATTTTCAATACAATAAACGAATTTATTACAGTAAGAATTAAACTATTATTTAACAATTAAGTTCATTAAAACGTCAACACCATATAAATTCTTTCTTCAGCAGAAATTAAGTTCACACTCATTATCCAGATTGAGTTTCAATTACAATAACTATTAATACTAACTTCAATTACAACAATAATTCAATTACAATAACTATAATTACTAACTTCGATAAATCACAAGTCAGAAAATATGAATTCGATAAACTTTAATAGAAAGAGGGGTAAAAATTAAGTTACCTCAAGTAAAGTTTAAAAAAATAACACACCCACCAAAGGTGCAACAATAAAACTTTGAAAAAAACCTTAAGGGTAAAAAACAACAAAATACAAAAAACAAGTAAGCTTAAGTCCCTAAACTCAATTAAAATAACATCAACTTAAATAAACTTTTAAATTTTCTTTTAAAGCAACCAAACCTAAATTTAAAGTTTACAAAAGTTAGAGTTTAAACTTGCAACCAACTTTAAACAACTAAAGCAAAAATTAATAACTTCAATTACTGATCAAAATTGAATTAAGTAAGCAAATAACTTAAAGCTTGAAAAATAATAACAATTAATACATAACAAAGGCTATGAATCTGCAGTGGAGACGGTAAGAAAAGGTAGTACATCGCAGAAAGAGGCTCCCAGACCTGGGCCTTTTTCTAGCCTTTACACGGTTAAATGCGCCTCCCGAAAAGAATCCAAGCCAGTACCCCTAGACACGTGAGTCTAGGAAGTGGATGTCCAAGTAGGCATAACCTTCATCTGGTCAACCCACTGGAGCAAAATGTCACGCAGTCAAACTTTAAAGCACACACATCAATGGTGACCGGCAATGGCGGTCATATAT